GCGTGGCAGCGCCCCTCACGGTGCCCACAGGGTCGGAGCTGTGCGACCTCCGAAAGCGGTCCTGCAATGGGAGTCGAGACGTTAGTAGGGGATGGGAGCCCAGTACCGGGGATGTCCATTCTCTAGCCCGAGACATATGCCGACTCCCTGGGGGAACCCGGGGACACCACCTGGTCCTATTTCGAGTGGTGCGGGCATGCCCGGCGGAGCAGTGAAAGATAGTGGATTCAAAACCTAAAATGACAGATTTTCACACCATAAAGGAACACAAGGAAGAGGGAGAGAAGTTCTCCTACATGGAGGAGAACAGTGAGACCCAGACCGACGCTCCGGCAGACGATCAGCCGGTAGGGTCGGACGACGATGACGATCCGGAGGCGGAGACTCGGCTGAGAAAATGGACATGTCACTTGAAGAGTATGCGGGCCACATGGGAGGCCAACTGTAGCATAGGCGGGAGATAAAAACGAGGGCTAATAGAGAATTTCGTTAACGCCCACGAGTATAGGGAACACTTGGCAGCTCGAGTATGGCATTTTAGAATGTGGAGAGCCAAGCGTGCCAAGAGGACGAAGGAGGCCGAGGCAGCTCTTCTCCGTGGATGGAGGGCAGGGCCCTCCAGATGGAGGGCTGCCTAAAAGAGGAGGAGAACGGCGCGGCTCCGCCTCCTGGCGGAGGAGGCGGAGAAAGAACACCTCCGCACGAAGGAGAGCCTAGCTTACCTTCGTGCGGAGTTGAGGGAAGTGAAGGCCGGAATGGAGACGGGGAGAGGTGGGGGTGTGCCCAGGCCTCAATTCCGGCCCCTAGGAGGAGATATGTCCTTCCCCCTAACATAAGAAAAGATGACGCGGTGGCTCCGCAGGAGGGCCAGTGGGCTATTGTGGTCCGGAGGAGAAAGAAGAGGAAGAGGAAGAAACGGGAGGTGCCTCCGATGGATGCGGTTGGGAGCGCGCCAGTGGTGGTGACGGCGGCGACGCGTACCATGAAGACTGGGGGAAGAAAGAAAGGGGTAGACCGACCAGGCCCGGCGCAAGATGTTGCAACATTGTTAGTCCCCCCAGGGGAAGTAGAGGTGAAGTGGCTGAGGCTGCTGTCAACGGCAGCCGTAGCCGTGAGACTAACACCCGGCGCCTCTTACGCAGAGGCCCTGAGGAAAGCGAGGGAGGAAATCCCCCTTGGGGAGCTGGGAATCCCTGGTGTGGACGTAAGCAGGAGTGCAGAAGGTGCTCTCCGCGTCCGCGTCAGGGACCCCGACTCCGAGGAGGAAAAGGCAGACAGACTGGCAGAGAGGATCCGGGTTTCTCTACCAGAGGCGGTGGTAACCCGCCCGGTAATGAAAGAGGAGGTCCGGCTCGTCGGATTCGACGAATCGGCCTCTCCCGAGGAGGTAAGGACGGCTCTGGCGGTCTACGCGAATTGCGAAGCGGGGGCCGTCCAGTTAAGACCCCTCAGGTGGGGGGCGCGTGGGAAGAAAGCCACGTGGGCGTGGCTCTCATTGGCCGCCGCAGTAGTGGCGGCCAAGGAGGGAGTGATGCAATTGGAGTGTTCGGCCGTCCGCATCGAAATGCTGGCGACCTGACCATCCCAATGATACCGATGTTGGGGCCTCGGCCACACTCGCACAGGCTATACTTCGGCGATTGACCGGAGTGGCCTATGCTTCCGGTGTGGCACACCGCTCAGATGTGCGAGGAGCGGCCACACTGCGTGGTGTGCCAGGAGGTGGGGCGCACCGCCGACCACCGCATGGCCGGTCCGACCTGCGAGTTGGCGGCGCGCCGGGTCGGAGGCGGTGGGAAGAGCCGTCGACGCAGGAAGCATCGGCGGCGGAACCGTCCTCCGGCCAGGGAGATAAATGCCGCCGGGGAAGCGGCTGAGGCTGGCGCTACAGTGCCCGCGAAGGAGGGGAAGGCGACGGAAACGGGTGCCAAGGCACCCGAGAAGGAGGTGGATGCCGGCGGGGAAGCGGCGAAGATGCCGGATACGAAGACGTACCCGGGAGCGAGGAGGAATGCCGCCGGGGAGGCGGGTAGAGACACCCGCACCAAGGAGGGGTCGGCGGCGGCCGACGGGGGGCTTTGGCCTCCCATCCGAAGGTCGTGCAGCTGACCAGGTCCCCTGTGAATAAACGTGGGAGGGACCAAGAGGAGCAGAGTAGTCCGGTCGAGGCCGGGTCCTGCTCCCCCAACCCCCACCTCTAACATCGAGGTAGGGTGGAGGGAGAGGGGCGGATGCCCCCTCCTTCGCCGGCCTTATTGACTGGCTGGCACAACTAGGGCCGGGCTTACCCGGCAGGGCGCTGCGCGTCGCAGCTGCTGCTGCGACGCGCGGTGTCAGGCGGAAGGCCCAAACTGGCCATGAGTCGGGGCGGTCGAAGAATCGACTGGTACTTGCGCAGTTCCTCGCTTCCCAAGGGGCGGGATATCCTTGAATGTTTCCCCACCGAGATAAAAAAGAAGGTCGCTCGAATGTTAACGAGTCCACTAGCCCGGGTTTAGTAATCGAGGTTCTTCCTTCCCCTAGTGTTGGATGCCTGGCACTGCCAGGCTAACGAGCACGCACGTCCGGGTTTGGTACCGTGAGTTTTCCTCTCCGGTTCCGAAGAATAACGAGCCCGCTAGCCCGGGTTTGTACCAGGTTTTTCTACCCTATCCCCCCCTTGGCTCCCTGCCGTCTCTTCAGTTATGTCTTACCTTGCCCTGGGCCTCCCGCGGCAAACAGGCCGATGGTACTACCTCAGATGTCATTGGTAACGACCGGGCTCCTTCGCCACAGCAAGGCGACATTTATGAAGGAGATTTCAATACCGGCTGAACGACCAGTGGACGTCCCACGGATGTCCATGTCGGACCAATCGGCCGTCCAACGGACATCCTTGTCATATATGAAATGTGCCTAACAAACACAATGTTACATGTATCGTGCCTGTTAGTTGTAATTTCCTACTCAATAATATAACTGTTATATAAAACGTATTATATAACAGTTAAATTGTTGAATGGAAAATTACAACTAACATGTACGTTACATATAACATTATGTTTTCTAGGCGATGAAGGAACATGCAATACTACCCAGTGGATGTTACAGAATGAAACACATAGAACAGGTTAGCATTAATTTTATTACTAATCGATGGATTTTAAAATATTATTTTGTACTTAATACTGCACATAACTTTAATATATAAGATTTTATATATTATTATATTGCGGAATCGCCAACAAGTTAAAGTTACTGATTAAGGCTGCTGGATACTGGCCACGACCAGTTTGTTTTAAGTCGTCAGAAGCGAGAAATTCTGTTCATAATTCTTGTAGTATACAAAATTCATAAAATTTGCTGTCGATTCAGCAAATATATAAATACTTCAACCACTATCTTTTTGTTGCAGTAATCAATAAATAACTACAAAATTTCTGTGATAGCAATATGTAGGACCTAGTAAGGTAAGTTGTACATCACGTTAATTTTATTTATGGGTATTTGTTGAGTGCCACAGCAAACAGATAGTAGTCGAAGTATTTTACAACTATTAGGAGTACAAATAAGTTTCCGCCGTTTTCTATAAAAAATTAGGAATTTATTGTAAAAGAACGGTATATTACGTTTTATTCAAAGTATTGTCCATCACTAGCCACTACTTTTTCCCATATTTCTGGCAGCATTTGGATACCACGTCGGAAGAACTTTTCATCTTTTGAAGCTGTTCGGAACTAGCCCGAACATATGATAGCTCCGGAGAGCTGGCTGGAAGTACGGGATCGCAGAGCGACGTCCGCCTGCGTCTAGGCTCGCTCGAGTCCGCTCGGCGACCGATCGGTCGTCCTGATCAAAGGCCGGGGCCTCGTAAGGCGACCACGGACCCTGCTGATCAAGCAACGTCGCGCGCCGACTGGGCCATGCCCAGGGACGGCGGCGAGAACAAGAGAGAAGAAGCACGCGCACGTGCCGACGTAAAGTGACACGCAGTGTAAAACACAATGGACGCAATAAACGCAGTAGTAACGCAGAAGAAAATAACGCAGAAGAACATAAACGTAGCTATATACAAGCGAAACAACGTCGCTTACGCAAGTCCCGCAGGACACACGTCCGTGACGTCAACGGTGCGCGGCACCCGAAGCACGCCAAGGACGTGCAACGAAACGACCTCTGTCGTTTCGGATGGCCTGCCCTTCCGGACGTAACGGCCAATAGCCAGCCACGGTCCCGAGGACGCGTGGAAATGGAGCTCGAGAGCTCCGGACAACCAAGTCGCTCCTGCGAGAAAGCCAAGTTCCCAACGGACACTTGGACGTAGGAGCGCGAACGCTCTAGGACTGCGACCGAGCCGCTCCAAAAATCGCCAAGGCCCCCTACGGACACTGGGGCAACAAGGGAGCTCGAAGCTCCGAGGAGACGGTCGAGTCGCTCCTAAGATCACGGCAACGCCGTGAGTCCGAGATCATAACGAGATTCGAACCATTAGCCTCAACAGCCCCAGCAGGGTGTATCGGCGCCACCTTCAACTCAGCAGAGTCTATAGAGCAGTGGTTCGAATCTGAACGAAAGACCGATCGCCCTAGGAAGCCTAGAAAGCGCGTCGGTAATCACCAGTAACACGATGCACTAACGTGTAGCACTACTTGCTACCCAAAACTGGCCAGGCAGAAGACAAGGCAAGGCAAGGACCAGGCACCGCGCGCCTGGTTATATATCCGGGCGGTCGAATCTTGCCCGCGGGCAGCGGAATCGCGAGCTGCGCCGTGGTTGGACCTAGTGGGGGTCCCGCGCGCTCGCTCGCGAGAACCCGCGTCCCCCGCCGCTAGCGAGAACGCCCCGGGAACCAGGCCGCCCGCCCTGCAGCGTTGACTCGCACCGACTTTCCGTACGGCATCACGTGCCGTACGGAACATACCGCCCGCCTCCGTCGCGGCGACGGAAGTCAGTGGTGGAACAAACCCCACCAGGAAGGCCGCACTCGCGGCCTGGCGGCCGTGAGGGCCTGTTGAACCCCTTCATGTTGAAGGTTGATTGGGATGAGCCCCTTTCGGATCCACAGGGAGCCTCACCAGCTTGACCAGTGGCCGGGTCAAGGTCGAGTCCGCTGTGCGCACCTGCGCCACGCGGACGTGCCTATCCGGGCCAGGCAACAAGCCGGTGATGCGGCCGAGAGGCCACCGAGTAGGAGGAAATCGGCTATCCGCCAAAATCACGAGGTCGCCGATGTCCAACGGACGAGAAGCGACGAGCCACTTGCCCCGGACCTGCAGCTGGGCTAGATATTCTCTAGACCATCGCTCCCAAAGATGCTCCGTCATATGCTGGAGCAGCTGCCAGCGACTCAACCTCGCGACCTGAACGTCCCCGAGGGATCGCTCAGGCGGACACAACAGCGGGCGCCTAATCAGGAAGTGTCCAGGTGTCAGGGACTCCAAGTCCTGTGGGTCGTCCGTCAACGGACACAATGGCCTGGAGTTGAGACAGGCCTCAATGCGAGCTAGAAGAGTGGCGAACTCCTCAAAGGTCAGTGCCTGCTCTCCTATTACCCGTCGCAGGTGGTATTTGACGGACCGCACTCCTGCCTCCCACAGTCCGCCGAAATGCGGAGCTGAAGGAGGCATGAACTTCCAGGTGGTGCCCTGGTTACTCAAGGAGGCCGCGACCGGTCCCCCCAACGCCATGACCGCCTCAAATTGCCCTCGCAGCTCGCGGTCCGCACCCACGAATGTAGTCCCCCTATCGCTGTATACGGTAACCGGCAGGCCCTGCCGGGCCGCGAAACGATGAAAGGCCGCTAAGAAGGTCGGGGCCGAATAGTCACTGACCACCTCCAAGTGGACTGCGCACGTGCTGAAGCAGACGAAGACAGCAATATATCCCTTGGAGGTGGTACGTCCGCGTCCTCGAGACGGACGCACCGCGACCGGTCCAGCATAATCCACCCCGGTGGCAGAGAACGGAGGATGGGGCAACACCCGATCGCGAGGCAGCGGAGCCATGAACGGGGTGATCGGGGTGCCTTTATGGCGTGTGCAGCGCACACAGCCCCGTATCACCTGGCGCACTAAAGAGCGCCCAGCTGGAATCCAGAATTCGCGCCTCACGGTGAGCAACGTAAGCTGCACTCCCCCGTGCAGCGTGCGTTCGTGCGCATCTCGCACAACGAGAGTCGCGAGCCGAGAGCGTCGCGGCAGCAGGACTGGCTGCCGCGCATCGATCGGTAACGCTGAGAATTGCAGGCGGCCCCCCACCCGCAAGAGGCCCCGCTCGTCCATCATGGGATTGAGTGGCCGCAATGCCGATCCCACCATCAATGCTCCCCCCCGCTTCAGACGGCCCAACTCCTCCGCGAAGAAGCGGTGCTGCGTAATCCGCAGCAGGCGCAGTCGAGCTTCACTCAGCTCGTCCGCCGTTAAGGGTCCACTGATCCGTGGGACTCGCAGGAATCGTCGCATATAGGCCATCACGCGGATGGTCTTGCGGAAGGAGCATGCTCGGAGGACACCGGACCAGTCCTCCGGGTTCACGGCCACCACGTGAACCATGCGCCGTTCCTCGCAAATGCTTCGGTCGACCGCGACACAAGTTAGACCCGGCCAGCCCGCCGGGTCCTCGACAAGCCAGGAGAGGCCACGCCACCAAAGGGCGTGTTCTCGTAGCCCGCCGGCCAACAAACCCCGGGAGGCGCAATCCGCGGGATTGTCGCCGGACGGGACATGCCGCCACGAGGCCCGCGGAAGGCTCTCGTGAATGTACGAGACGCGATTGGCGACAAAGGTGGTCCATCGAGATGGATGCCCTGTTATCCAATGGAGCGTGACAGAGGAGTCGGTCCAACAAACCAGGGGGGCCTCGGCACAACCGAGCGCCTCCACAATGGCCTTCATGAGGCGCGAGAGTAGCTGCGCACCGCACAGCTCCAGGCGGGGCAACGATACCCGCTTTAGTGGGGCGACCCTGGTCTTGGACGCCAATAGAGCGACACGGGTGGTCCCATCAGACCGTCGAGCCCGTAAGTAGATGACGGCGGCGTACGCCCGCTCCGAGGCGTCCGAGAAGCCGTAAAGCTGGATCTCCACTTCAGGCGACCATCCGGTCCAACGAGGAACTCGGATTGCGGAAACCTCCGCGAGCCCGGTGCTAAAGGCGTCCCAACGCGAGAGCGGAGAAGGGAGAGCCTCGTCCCAACCGAGCCCGGCCAACCACAAGTCCTGAAGGAGTATCTTCGCCAGTACTACCATAGGCCCTAACCAGCCCAGGGGGTCGTATAATCGCGCAACGACTGACAAGATACCACGCTTCGAGATGGTCGATGGAGCCCCGGGGTTGACCGAAAAGTAGAAGGCATCCTCGACCGGAATCCAACCGACCCCCAGCACAGATGCCCCCACGGCCCCAGGGTCCGGCAGAGGCACCAAGGGCTCGCGGTCCCCCCCCGGGATACCGGACAAGAGTTCCGGATGTGAGACCGCCCACTTCCTGAGTCGGAACCCGCCCGCCATGAGCAAGCTGCTCAGCTCACGCTGTCGATGGCGTGCCTCCCCAAGGTCATCTGCCCCCGCAAGAATATCGTCGGCGTAGGTTTGTCGACAAAGTAAGTCTGCTGCCCGGGGATAACGTTCCCGCTCATCCAGCGCCAGCTGGTGCAGCGTGCGGATGGCCAGATAAGGAGCGCACGCCATGCCATAGGTGACCGTGGTCAACCGGTACACCGATATTGCCTGCGTCTGGCTGTCTCGCCAGAGAATCTGTTGGAGGTGTTGATCCTCCGGAGCCACCCGCACTTGACGAAACATTTGCTCGATGTCTGCAGAGAAGGCCACTCGATGCATGCGCCAGGCAAGTAGAATCTCGCCCAGTTCTCGCTGTAAGCGCGGCCCCACGTGCACCAAGTCGTTCAACGACCGGCCATTGGTGGACGCCTGCGAGGCGTTGAACACCACTCTTACCTTAAGCTCGGGGGCTTGTTTAATCACCGGGTGATGTGGAATAAAGTAAGAGGGCCGCGGGGTCTCGACATTGAGCGGCAGGCGGATCATATGCCCCTGTCGTTCATAGTCATCAAGAAAGTCGCGATAGGCCCCGCCCAAGGAAGGCTGCCGAAGCAGTCGCCGCTCCAAGCGATGCAACGAGGCAGTGGCAATCCGCCGAGTGTCGCCGAGAGGCAGCTCAGTCGGAGGGCTCCTGAAAGGCAACCGCACCTGATAGCGGCCGTCCGCACGACGCCGAAAGGACGCCGCGAAAAACTCTTCACAAGCCCGTTCCTCCTCAGAGAGCTGGGAAGCAACCGGAATCTCCTCCACCTCCCAGAAGCGCCGCAAGAGATCCGCCATGTTGTCCGACGCACACTGCACCACATGACAATGAGAGCCGCCCGCTCCGGCGGCAGACGGGAGAGCCCCGAACAACACCCACCCCAAGCGGGTACGCTGCGCGATGGGAGCTCCCCGTGGCCCCCGGCGAAGCCCCGTCAACACGATCTCGGCGAATACCTCCGCTCCAAGTATCGCCTCGATGCGCTCGTCATCATCATGATCATCCGCCAAACGGAGGTTCCTCAAATGCGACCACTTCCCCGTCAGCCGAGCCCTCTGCGGAGGGTAGTACGCCGTAAGCCTTGGTAGAATGAGGGCCTCCACCGTGGTGGAGAACGGGAGGCCAGCAGTTGCCCTGAGCCGCAATGACGTGCTGGTCCGCACCCGTTGAGGGGGTCCCTCTGAGACGCCCGACAGCCCAACATCCAGTGATCGACGAGACGCGCGCAGCCGCTGCGCAAGCGCCTCGGACACCAGGCTCACCTCAGAGCCCTGGTCAATGAGCGCTCGAGCCACAGCGGATCGGCCATCGGACGCCATCAGACAAACCCTGGCTGTGGCCAAAAGAATTCGCTGCGCGGGCATCCGCGTCGCAGCATGCGCCGTGACCGGCGCTTTCCCCAACGCCGGGGCCGGAGACTGCCGAGCGGAGTGCAGAAGTGATTGGTGCGGCTCTCCGCACTTCCGACATCGACCCTTAGACGGGCAAGTGGCCGCCTAAGATGCGACGGACCGAGGCAGTTGAAGCACAACCCGAGAGCGCGTACCCTTGCCCGTCGCGAAGAGACCGGCCGATCTTTAAAGGCCGTACACTCTCTGAGTCCATGCTCAGAACCGCACTCAGCGCAACGGGTCGGCTTGGGCCGATGAAGATGTAGCGATCGTCGACTAGTCCGCTCGGATGCCGATGAGGCACGGGGGCCGTCCCCAATGGACGGAGCCGCGGCAACCGCCTCGAGCGCCACCCGACGCTCGTCCAGGAAGACTGCCAGTCGGTCCCAGCTCACTGGCTCGCGCCGGTCCGCGGTGGCCATCTCCCAGGCCCGCCGCGTTGCAGAGTCTAGCTTGGAACGGAGGATATTGACCAATATCACGTCCCAAGCGTCCACTGGCTGGTCAAGAAGGCGCAAAGCGGCCCGCAGCTCGCTGGCTCGATCCAACAGCCTCCGAACCTCGGAGACGCTCTCCTGACGCATCGGGCCAATATCCCGGAAAGCGTCGAGATGCTGGTCCACAAGCAAACGACGGTTATCGTACCGTGCACATAGCGCTTCCCACGCTTGCTCAAACGAGCCAGTAGCGACGCCGTAGTGCCGGAGCAGACGTTCGGGCTCTCCCGACACGCTCTGTTTTAAATAATGCATCCGGTGAACTGATGCTAACGACGGGTTATCGACTATTAAGGACTCGAAGAGATCCTTAAAATTGCGCCATTCGTCAAACTTCCCTTCGAACTTCGGAATGGGAATGCGAGGCAACGAAGCCTCGGGCACTACTGCCTGCGCGGGGACTGCGTGAGCAGCCGACTCAGCCTCCTGAACCTTCAACCCATCGAGCAGGGTTTGGATTTCTGCGCGCTGCGCAATGTAGACTTCCTGCACCGTGCCACAGGCATCCTGTCGCACGTAGTCCGACTCTCGCACGGTCTTGAGGCGAGACGCTCGGATCGTGCGATGATCATCCTGGAACTGAGCCCAGTACGTGTCGAGAACCTGCAAACGAGACGTCAACCCGCCAACTGACTTCAGTTGACCGGACTTGCGTGCATTGTCCAGCAGCCGCTCCATGCGGTGCTGCCGGTCGTATTGCAGCTCGATGAGCCCAAGAATGTCCTCCTCCTTAGACATAACGGAGCCAGAGCTAAACAACTCGATCCAGGTCCGAGACTACCGCTCCCGATCCGGCTCGAAGGACCAAAATTATGTTCGGAACTAGCCCGAACATATGATCCGTATTTCCAGCTCCGGAGAGCTGGCTGGAAATACGGGATCGCAGAGCGACGTCCGCCTGCGTCTAGGCTCGCTCGAGTCCGCTCGGTGATCGACCGGTCGTCCTGATCAAAGGCCGGGGCCTCGTAAGGCGACCACGGACCCTGCTGATCAAGCAACGTCGCGCGTCGACTGGGCCATGCCCAGGGACGGCGGCGAGAACAAGAGAGAAGAAGCACGCGCACGTGCCGATGTAAAGTGACACGCAGTGTAAAACGCAATGGACGCAATAAACGCAGTAGTAACGCAGAAGAGAATAACGCAGAAGAACGACGCAGAAGAACATAAACGTAGCTATATACAAGCGAAACAACGTCGCTTACGCAAGTCCCGCAGGACACACGTCCGTGACGTCAACGGTGCGCGGCACCCGAAGCACGCCAAGGACGTGCAACGAAACGACCTCCGTCGTTTCGGATGGCCTGCCCTTCCGGACGTAACGGCCAATAGCCAGCCACGGTCCCGAGGACGCGTGGAAATGGAGCTCGAGAGCTCCGGCTCGCAGGACATCCAAGTCGCTCCTGCGAGAAAGCCAAGTTCCCAACGGACACTTGGACGTAGGAGCGCGAACGCTCTAGGACTGCGACCGAGCCGCTCCAAAAATCGCCAAGGCCCCCTACGGACACTGGGGCAACAAGGGAGTTCGAAGCTCCGAGGAGACGGTCGAGTCGCTCCTAAGATCACGGCAACGCCGTGAGTCCGAGATCACAACGAGATTCGAACCATTAGCCTCAACCCAGCAGGGTGTATCGGCGCCACCTTCAACTCAGCAGAGTCTATAGAGCAGTGGTTCGAATCTGAACGAAAGACCGATCGCCCTAGGAAGCCTAGAAAGCGCGTTGGTAATCACCAGTAACACGATGCACTAACGTGTAGCACTACTTGCTACCCAAAACTGGCCAGGCAGAAGACAAGGCAAGGCAAGGACCAGGCACCGCGCGCCTGGTTATATATCCGGGCGGTCGAATCTTGCCCGCGGGCAGCGGAATCGCGAGCCGCGCCGTGTAGCGGCCGTGGTTGGACCTAGTGGGGGTCCCGCGCGCTCGCTCGCGAGAACCCGCGTCCCCCGCCGCTAGCGAGAACGCCCCGGGAACCACGCCGCCCGCCCTGCAGCGTTGACTCCCACCGACTTTCCGTACGGCATCACGTGCCGTACGGAACAGAAGCTATCCACGAATCGACCCAATTTTTAGTATCTTCATATGATGTAAAGTGCTGCTTAGACAGGCCATGTGCCATCGACCGGAATAAGTGATAATCGGAAGGGGCAATGTCTAGTGAATACGGCGGGTGGGGTAGGACTTCCCAATTAAGTGTTTCCAAATAGGTTTTGACCAGTTTTGCAACATGTGGCCGAGCGTTATCATGTAGAAGAATAATTTTGTCGTGTTTGGAGTACTAATAGGCGCGTTTTTCCTCGGCTGGTGCTCGGCTCAATCTCATTAATTGTGTTCGGTAGAGAGTTCCAGTAATGGTTTCGCTCGATTTGAGCAACTCATAATACACGACACCAAGCTGATCCCACCAAATACACAGCATGAGTTTTTTTTCCATGAATATTCGGTTTGGCTGTCGATGTTGAAGCATGGTCCCCATGATTTTCTCTTCTTTGGGTTATCGTAGTGGATCCATTTTTCATCACCAGTGACTATACGATGCAAAAAACCCTTTCTTTTATGCCTGGCAAGCAGCATTTCACACGTGCAAATCGGCGTTCAACGTCTCTCGGCTTCAGTTCATATGGAACCCAATTTCCTTGTTTTTGAATCATTCCCAACGATTTTAAACGATGTGAAATTGCTTGTTGAGTCACTTCTAAAGTAAGTGCAAGTTCTTCTTGCGTTTGGCACGAATCTTCCTCCAATAATGCTTCCAATTCCGTGTCTTCGTACACTTTCGGCCTTCCACTATGTTCTTTGTCTTCCACGTCAAACTCACCGTTTTTAAATTTTTGAAATCACTCACGACAACTTCTCTCACTTAAAGCAGTCTCACCATATGCTTCTACAAGCTATCGATGCGCCTCAGCTGCAGATTTCTTCAAATTAAAGAAGTAAATCAAAAGTTCCCGCAAATGACGCTTATTCGGCACAAAACTTGACATTTTCGCACGAAAAAAATTATGTGATGCTGATACGGAGTCACTAATACTTCAAGGTTATGTTGTTACCAGATGTCCAAACTTACGATATTACGTTTTACATCTGACAATTTCAACATAACTTCCTCTCCGTGGGTGCCACCTTGTCGTGGTTGGGAGGCTTGAAAGTCCCGATGATGTACAGAGCTGTGCCGGCGGGGGCTTCGGCCTCTGGCAGGTTCTACCATGCCGGAGTGATCTGTACTGAGGGACTGGACTAAGAGCACTCAGGGATGTCATGGCGGGATGGCCAGTTGGCCACCCTTGACCATTTTTCAGGGTAGTGAGGGTGGGGACACCGTCCCTCCGACATTGCACGCCGGTGCTCCGGCAGTCGGAGGGACAGGACTCCACCCGGTGGGAGGTTTCCGTCCCCTAGGGCATTGCACGCCGGTGTTCCGGCAGCCCGAAAGGACGGGCCACACTCGGGTCTGCACACCGTGAGGTTCCGGACCCTCACAGTACTCGGGGCGACGGGGGGGATCCGGGCCGCTCGGACTTATTCCGAGGTCGGGGCCGGGTCCCCCCGGGGTGAGCCCGTGGGATGGGGATCGCGTCATCCCTAAACCCATCCCTCGGGCGGAGGAGCATTGCTGGTTGCCGTCTCGTCGAGTCGCGACGGCGGTGACCTTACTCCTTCCACGGGGCCCTCCGCGTGGCGGCGTTCCTGGCGGTGCCCCAGGTGTCGGAGACTGGGGACCCCTGAAACCGGCTCACCTCCCAGAAATGGGGGGGGGCGGGAGTAGGGGGCTGGAGTCCAGTGCCCGGGATGCCTCTCCCCGGGCCCGTGTCATAGACCGGTTCCCTGGGGGAACTCGGGGACACTACGGAGTTTCTCCGTGGTGCGGGCATGTCTGGTCGGTCGAGCCGCCAGGAGTGGTGGGTTGAAAACCAAAATGACAAACAATAAAAAACAAAGGAAAAGGAGGAAGGGGAGGAGCTCCTCCGATTCGGAAGAGGGGAGCCTGGCTGGAGGCCCTGGGAGGGAGAGGGTCTTTGGGACGCCGGTTTCTGAGTTGTTGGAGCTGGTGGCACCCAAGGCCAAGCTTGGAGGTGATGGAGGAAAAGGACAATGTTCCTTTAGAGACAAGGATCCGGTCTCTGGACGCCGAAATAAAGGCACATCCTGAGATATTGGATCAGTGGAGATCGGATAAGGAAAGGAAGGACTCCGATGATGGAGACTCCATGACCTTGTCAGAGGACGAGGAGGAGTCGGGTGCTGTCGGAGGAGAGGGGCAGGAGCTGGAATATCCCCCCTACTCTGCAAAGAGATGGGGGCGTGGAAAGGATATCTGCGAAAGCAAATGGAGGAGTGGGGAAATCGAAGCCTTGGTAACTTCCAGAAAGGTAGGTTCCGGGAGGTGTTCGATTCCACCCTCCGGTATATGCAGGAGCACGTCGTAGCTGCTGCCGCATTGGAGGACAGGCAGGAAAAGATAGAGAACCGGGCATGGGTGCTTCGGGAGATACCTGCACCGGACAAGGAAGGAGCCCACCACTCGGCGCCACCACTGCCCCGAGCAAGAGGATACGGCGCTGCATACCCTAGCTGCCTGCGCAGCATGGGACGGGCAGCGCCGGGTCCTGCTCGGGGCAGTGGATTGCCGCGACGGGGAGCTCTCGCTCTCGCACCTGGTGCGAGCCATGTGGGGGAGCGAGAGAGCGTTAGACACGGCGGCCTCCTTCTGCGAGGAGGTAATCTCCCAGAAGGAGGCCGCCGAATGGAGGCGCCGGCCTGGCAAACGCCGTCGCAGAGGACGGCGGGGCCGGCGCTCCCCTGGGAGGGGGGTATTAACAGCGGGCCCGAGGTGGCATCGGACGAGGAGAGGCCGCTGGCCTACACGAGTCGCCGGCTCCCTCGGCTACCTCGAACCAGGCTCCGTCACTCGGAGGAGAGCGAGAAGGAGACCTCCCGCTCCCCCGAATGATCGGATAGGGAGGAGAAGGGGAGCTGGAGAACCTGATTGGGGTCGGGCCCACCTCCCCAAAAATCCCCCTCTCTCCCTTTGGGAAGGGGGGATAAGGAGGAAGGGTGGATGTCCCCTTCCTCCAAGGTCACACCAGAAGACCAACCGGCGGGGATACCCGCCGGGGACCGCACCTCTCCCACTAATTCCCCGAAAGGGGAAGGCGAGGGGTTCTTAGTTAAGAGCCCTGGGGCCGGGGGGTTGGGGAGGGAATGCGGGAGCAGTTCCCCTGACTCCCCTCCTCACGGTCCGACAGGTAGACATCCCGCAGGGGTTTTAGTCGATAAGAGTCCGACATAACCCCCGCCCCTCCCCAAGGGGGCGGGGGTATCCATGATGGATTTCCCCTGCATGAACAAAAAAAAAAGGAAAAGATAGAGAGGAAACTGTTGATAAGCGAAACGTGCAGGAAGGATCTGTGCGGATATAAGGAGATGTCCGCACAGATCAAAGCACTAAAGGAAAGGAAGAACAAAAGTGAAGTGGAATTCGAAAGGGAGAGAAGGGAATGGAGGGAGCTCCTGGATCAGGAAAGGAACGGGATTGAAGAGAGGATGGAGACACTTCAGCAGAACCTAGTTCAACTAGACGCTCTGCTGAAGTTGCGGAGGGAAGGAGGATTAGGGGAAAGGGGGGAGGTGTCGACGCAGACAGAAGCGTCTGTAACGACTCCACCCACCTCAATGGATATAGAGGGAGAGGACAGAACAAGGGAGGATAGTGGGACTCAAACCAGGATGGGTGATAGG